TGATCGGTTGCTGGGGGAGCTGGCGGCTGAGTGAGCCCATCAGGCTGAAGAAACGTTACAATTTTTAGCAATATCCTCTGATTATTGCTATGTCCTTTATTATATTTATGGTGGTTTTGTGTATCTATAGATATGTGAAGTATGTTTATATGCACATAGGCAAAGTATGCAATGTGCCTTATGAGGTACTTTCTGGTTTTCATATCTCCTAAATTTTGACCCACAAGGATTATTTATTTTCACAACTTCAAAATAGAGTTGATCAGCTGGGCTTGTATCTGGAGTTTGCCGCCTTCATGGAAGATCTAATCAAAGGTGCTCGCTGCTAAGGGGTAGTAGGCCTGTTCATTTCCCTGGCCTCCCAGGAGAGCCTTCTGCACAACCTATATGCTGGGCACACTGGTGTGCTGAGAGATTAACACACTGAGTTACTTAATCTGCAAGGTACCTTTTCAAATGCAGATATATTTATTTTCTTATTTGCTAAACCATTAATATTAGAGTTAGTATTCAGCTTAGCTTTCTTCTCTGTATCCATTGTAAAAGGGTATACAGGGAATAGACAAAACCAACATTATTTCTCTATTATGCAAGTATAATTTGTGTCTGCCTGTATTGATATGCAGGTGTATCATTTTCATTTCCTGAACTCTGGTTCCATTTTTTCATCTCAAGCACAGAGTGCTCCCAAAGCAGCACTCACTACCTGTTACTGCTTATCCTTCCTGCAGAGTGCCACCTTTGGTTGCCTGTCCACGTCTTTAGAAAGCCGAAGGCTGATTACTCAATGTTTGTCTTGAGCAATCTGTTCTTTCAAAATAAATAAACAAACCCTATCTTTTATCTATACTGAAACATATGTAGGAAGAATAACCTGGTATTAATTCTGTTCAATGTGTGAAGAAATACAAAGTGTTGCTCTGCTACAGCTGTGAGTTTAAAAAGGATGCTGTTACTATGAATGCTGTCATGAAACAAACAAAAGAAGCCCCAATATGTTTATAAATGATCACAACATCAACTCGGTACTTTCCAAGAGTAAAGGGAACGCACACAGGAATGAAAAACAGATATTTTTTTTGAAAACTTTTTTTTTTTTGGCAGCAAACATGAATACAAATGTCCTATTAGAGTGGCACTTACATTCTCGGTTTGTCAAAGATGACCAAATCTATTTAATACAACTCTGTGTCCTTTGACTTCTGTGTTACTTTGTTGCAGTTGAGTAATTGAGGTTTTTCTCCCTTCATTTCCAGGTTATCTCTGGACTGAAGCTTACAAGATTATTTGCTTCAAACCAGATTCTACCAAGTGAATGTCTCAGTTGCCTAGTAGAACTCCTTGAGGACACTAATATAAGCCCATCTCTAACCTTGTCTGTGGTTACTTTGCTGTCACAGCTAGGTAAGGTTTGAGTCTGAACTTTACATCTTGGGTCTGGGAGAGGGAAGACAAGACAGGTGCTGATTCTGTGGGTGATGAACTTTTTGGAAAAAGCTTAAGATGTGAAAGATGAAGTGGTTTTTTTTTGTTGTAGTGGAGTGCTTGGCCTAGTCACCTGACTATAAGTACAAGGCCAGATAAGATGCTAAATCACCATGAGAAACAGATTTGAGGTCATCACTGAGAAATGACAGTGATCATGCCTGACAGAATTTTTTTTCACTGGGCAGGATGAGGAATTATTCTCTCGTTGGGTCCTTGATTTCTGGAACTTGACTACCTTTTTTAATGAAGAAACCTGTCTAGAGGATGCAAAGATAGGGAGAAACCACACTACATCAAGAATTGTTGTCACCTCAGTTAATTTCTCCCACTGGAGTGCTTGTTGGGTGGCAGTTTGGACTCTCCAATGGCCTGGACCTGTGTGCTTCAAGTTTCCTGATCAGAAAATTGGTTGTACTGCCTCTTACTTGTTTCTTGGGTTGGATTTATTATTTTTTTCTGCTTCACAGAAGTGAGACTTGGTTATCAAGGCAGCTTTGTACTCACCATAACCTACACATGTAGGTTACATATATAGAAAAAAAATATCCCTTCACTACTTAGGTTTTTCATCATGCATGAGTGGTTATTTGAGATTTGAGTCCTTCATGATGACCCTTTGTTAATCTTCTCTGATTCTTGGAGGTTTTAGCCTCTTTGAGCTTCCTTTTAGTTTTCTGAAATGGTTACTGTAAAATTATATTGGTTGCTTGGGTTCTTAACTATTTCTTCCAACCTGTTGGGTCTGGAAAACTCTAAGAATTGGAGTTTTCCTTCAACTGATCTGTTACTTTACCCATTATCCATGTTTGCTACATCTTTTCCAGGTCTGCCTAAGCGGAATTGGCATTTTGTATTTAACTATTGCTAGATAATCCTATCAAAGTATCAGTTTTAGTCCATTTGCCCACTCATAGCATGAAGCCAGAAACTGAGATCATTGATTTTTAAGCTTTAAAGCCTTTTAAGTGCAGGATTCAAGATCTCAAATAGAGCTAAAACTTTGTAGGTAAGAGGTCGACCGTTCCTTCAGTGTCCAAGCATCTTTAAGGAAAGGATTAGTGTTTCAATTAACTGTAAGTTCAGAAGTAAGGTACAGATGCAAGTGCATAGGAGCTGTGATTTATTTCTTGTTATTGGTGAAATATACATGAAAAACTGATCAAAGACTTTGGCTTCTGCTTAGATTGGTAGCTAATCCAACAGTTGCTTTTGCTATTACATAGGTGTCTGTTAAAATATCTTAAATTCTAGCTTTAGACAATGAGACTAGAGAAGCTCTTCAGGATACCTACAGTCTGACCAGTGTGCTGGCAGGAGTGGTTCATCGAAGTTCTACGAACCTTAGTGACCCAGTCTTACTACAGGTAACCAGAACTAAGGCATAATAATATTTGGTTGCTGTTACATAGTATACATTACACCGTATGCATGTAATAACCCTTTAAAAGCTCTATCTGAAATACTGTGTTGAGGAAAAGCTGATCTGCGTATTTTATTTGCTGTATGAGGCTAGTATGACAGGGTTTTAACATTGCATAGAGTTCTTTGTATTCTCTCTTTAATCTTTCTTGTGCTTCTCACCTGCTCTAATTAATACAAACAACAGACAAAAAAGCTGTTTTTAAAATTATTTCAAGAAATCACTGCTTGAGAGCTTGGAAAGTTATTTTCCAGGTAAGGTATTTATTTATTTCTCCTGATGTTCACAACAAAAGCCTGCAGATTTTTATCTAATCAATACTTTGACAAGTAATTGTGAAAGAGTGAAAGGAAAGCTGTGGCTGCTGGTTCTCATGGAAGGTTTTCAAGGCGTGTATGCTTACTTCCCTCTGGTCAGGGCTATCCGCCAGTGAATGCGAGGGAGCTGTGCTAATGGAAGTTTATTTTTTCATAGCTGAGTGCAGACATTATTGATTTTTAATTTATTTTCTTTCTTTTTCTTTTTTTTTTTTGGTGACCACGTGATATTTCATGGTCAGACTTCACCTATTTTAACCTGTCCTTTCTGTGCATTGAACAGTAAAGTTGGGCAAAATCTCTCTCTTTTTTCTTTTTTTTTTTTTTTCCAACCATGCACAGCTTTTCTTATACGTGACTGAGGTTCCAGCAAGTACTTGCTGGCTACCTGTGGTCACACAGAAAATGAATTTGCTAGCAGTTCTGTTGCCCTTGATCTGTGGAAAATGAGTCAAGCATTCAGTAAAGAACAAGTTTTTTTCTCATGGTTTGTGTATTTCTCAAAGCACTAGGAGTACTAGAAAACTTAGGGATCCAGGTGACTTGCCAGTCCATGAGAGAGATTTTGTAGTTACCAAATAGATCCAATTATAAGACCTTTAAGCTCTTATATCAGTTGTTTACATAGTGAGATTTTGTTTCAGCTGCTATCCTATGCTGTGATATGTGTCATGTTTGAGTATATTAACTTTACATTAACTCAGTTACGTTATGTGCCAAAAGAATGCCGTATGAAGAACTTTACTACCATTAGATGTGTTGGCAGTCTTTACAGCAGACCTGTTTTCCTATAAAAAACTTTTTGCAAGAAGTTGCAGAGTGCTTTTTGGATTTTGGTGAAACTTCTAGATCTTTCAATAGGGCAAAGCCCCCTTCTCACTGACAGAATGGAGAACTCGCTGATAAGGCAAAGGGGAGAATTGGATGGGCTAAAATGGTAACTCTCCTGTCAAAATAAAACCTTATTCATCTTTTTGGGCTTTTAATAAGTACATCAGCATGGTAGGACATTACTCATGTGCTTGCAGCAGCTCGTGTAATTGTTATGTTACAGAGTCTGAAAAATGATTCAGTGTGGTGTCTTGTTATTTGTCCTTTCAGTTTCAGCTTTTGTAACTTGTAACATTCTTCAGTGAGATGCTATAGGAAAGACATATGTGAATAGCTTTTTATTTCCTCAGAGTATTCAGTTGCTGCAGAGGCTAACCTACAATGTTCCGGTCTTTTGCACTGGTGCCAACATCGATGAATTAATTTCATTTCTAATGCATCATGTGTAAGTGTGTACTCAGTTGTCTTTTCTTATGGGAAACATCTAGCTAAGTTTCTAAACTTTCTGAAGGCCACTAGCATATGCACTAACCTGGTCTCCAGAGTGAACTGTGGCATTTTTGCTCTGAAGTTATCAGAGATTTTTCTTTGAAAACCATGTTGTTACAGATTGTCAAATGCAGTGATTGTGCGACTTTGGGTGATTGAATATTAATTGGCCTCTTAGCTCACCCCCACACCCTAGGAAGCAGGGATCTAACAAAGAGAAAAGCCAGAAGAAAACCCTTACTTGTCATTAGGAGCAGACTTAAGTTAGATTAATATGAATTTTGTGCAAGTGTCCTTGTAAGAGGTCTAATGACTATTAAAAGTACCTGCAATAAAGGACCTTTGATAGCACTCATTTCTGATACTGATTTTTTTTTTTTTTTACACATGTGCTCAGTTAAAAACTGTGCTTGCTATGGGGATTGCAATCTGATTTTGCTTTGCTTGGTGGAATGGTGTCTAATTAAAAAACGAAACAAAAAAAAACCCCAAAACAAAATAAAAAGTCCTCTGACCCCCCAACCCACAAATTCTTGCAACTAGATTTTGGATGCTTTAATAAAAACATCTTTGTTTAAATTTCTGGACTTTTCTTTTAAGTCAATCCACCGAAGATGAGTTAACGATACCGTGTTTAGGACTCCTGGCAAATCTCTGTCGTCACAACTTATCTATTCAAACTCAGATAAAATCTTTGGTAAGAGTTTTGGTTTTTGTGGCATGATTCTCTGGCTTGAGGGCAAAAGAGAGTTACTTCACTTTGGGGCATTACCTTAGTATCTCTTATGTGCTTTTTTTGCGGCAATGATAACCCTGACCTGTACTGCAGAGTTGGCGGTTGTTTCTCCCTTATTGGAGAAAATAACCAATAGAACAGGAAGTTGGGTATTCTCTTTCCTTCTCTATATTGCTGTATTGTTGCACTAGCTTGCATTATGTATTCAGTTTCTGCAACTGTTCTCTGCAGATGAAAGATGAATTTAAATTTTGAGTATTCTGCCTTAGAAAAACTAAATGTCATTAACATATAAAGCGTGTAGTTGGTTTTTTAGTAAGCTGCATCAACTTTGGCCAAGGAAGAGATTTGCCTTTTAAAAGATAAATCAGTAAAAAACCACTGATCTTGATGTCAGGTCAAGGCCCTTGAATCCTCAAATACGCATCCATATCTGAGCCACGCCATTCCTGTCTCTTCATAAATCAGTGCAAACATGACTTATTTTTTAATTCAGAAGGTCAAATTCATCTACATGGCAGTGAATGTTGTACTGTTTACTTTGGAAGAAAGGCAGGGGGGAAGGGAGCAGCAATTGTCAGATCTGATCACTGAGCAGAGGAGGGATGGGGGTCAATTTTCAATGGTTATTTTCTATTAGAGACTTTAGCAAAATGACTTTCTCATCTCTCTTTTTAAAATAATGATGGCGTTTCTTCCTTGGGGTTTTTTGTTTGGTTTTTTGGTGATGTTTTGATTTCATTTTTCTTCATACAAATTCAATAGAGAATTTAGTCATTGACATCAACACCAGTATTGTGCAGCAGAACATGAAAATAGATTGCCTAGAGAAGAGTTGTTGTTCTAATATATTTTTTTGTATTATTATTCATTATTTGTATGGCTTATAAATATGTACAATCTGTAAATTCGGTGTTTTTATAGAACAGAATAAAATTTTTAATACCTATGTTTCTCCTTTTTGCTTTAGAATAATGTGAAGAGTTTCTATCGTACCTTAATAAGTTTCCTGGCCCATAGTAGTTTGACTATGGTTGTGTTTGCACTTTCAGTATTATCAAGCCTTACTTTAAATGAGGAAGTAGGAGAAAAAGTAAGTGATACTTTGAAGTCTGTTCTATTCTTAAGTTGTAGTTAAAACTAATAGTCACACTGTCAAAATAAAATTCTAATTCCAGCTAGTTTTAATAAGCAAGAGACCCAGCAAAGTATGTGCCCATATGTAACTTTCTTCTTTCTTTCAGCTCTTTCATGCTCGAAATATCCATCAGACATTTCAGTTAATATTCAATATTGTTGTAAATGGAGACGGTACTCTAACAAGAAAATACTCTGTTGATTTACTCATGGATCTTCTGAAGAACCCCAAAGTTGCAGATTATCTTACCAGGTATGGCTTCACTTCATAAAAGTACAGGATATTTTTTATAAGCTGTTGTTCAATGCCTGTGCTGTACGCTATTTATATTCTGAACAAAACATTGGAAAAAAAATTCCCTAGATGCTTTTTGAATGTTGCTAGTTGATTATAACTGCTGTACCTGAAACTAAAGGATTCTTGTGTTACTAGTTTCACACAGAAGTGTGAATCAAAATCTGTTTTTTCATTGTCACTTCAGGAATATTTAATAGTTGTGTTCAGTAACTCTTTGTCTGGACAGTATCAGTAGTCAGATAACTTGAGGAGTAGCTATTTTGCCTCTTATAGACATTATGCTATTATCCTGAAGTGGAATAGCACAGTTGCAGTTGTAATCATTTACTGGAGGGCATTACAGAGTAGCTCTGGAGAGCTTGACTAGTGGTTCTGCAGATTTGGCTAGAAGAATTTAGTTGCTGAATTTCAATCTAAACCTAGCAGTAAAAATGGTTGGAAAATCTTGGCTTGTTTTAAGGAATTTGCTTTCATTCTTAGAATATTTTTAAAGCTTAGTCTATTTTAAATAGAAATTACATTATCAAAACTATTCCTGTGCTTGAAGTGTTTGGGGGTAAGAAGGAGAATAGAGCACTTGCATCCATCACTTGGCATAAATGTCTGAGTGGTGAAATTAATTTTTTTTTTTTCTTTCTTCTCTATGTGTGTAGGTATGAGCACTTTACCTCATGCCTTGGTCAAGTATTAGATCTTCTTCATGGAAGGGATCCTGATTCATCATCTAAGGTATTTATACTTTTTAAGGCTATGAGGGTACAACTCCTAATCTAGTTTCACTTTTGTAGTCATAAGTAGGTTCCTTGTGTACAAACTTTATAATGAAATACATTGACTTCAGGACTCAAGTGACCTATGGTATTCACCAAGTTTGTATTTTCTAGTTGTTTAAAAGACTGTCAGGTTGAATTTGTAATGGTTGGGGTTTTTTGCCAGATTATGTGTGTCTGGTTTCAGGCAACAGATATAAAGGCAAAAAGCCAACGTAAACACCTTTTGTGCTTTGGCTAATAAGCAATTTTGGGATCTACCAGAAATGGAGGGTGTACCCCGCTTCACTGGCTAAAACTTGAATTACTCAGACTTTGAACTGATGATTAGAGAGCTATGATGCTGATTTCAAAGATTTAGGAATAAATTTTTTTCATATTAGTTGAACAAATTGATGCCACATTTGGTTAAGCAGTTAACTGTTGCATTCTACTTTGTCTCGCTACCACCTTATGTAAATGAAACCTTGGTTATCTGTTGCTAAAGGCTGAAACATGAAATGTTGTGAAAATTTTATGGCTAAATACATCTGTGAAACAAATCTTAAGCTGTTTTTAAAATGAATGTTTCACATCATTGTGAATAACAAATGCTAATGTTTCTGAGTATGTTGGGTTTTGTGTTTATTGGTTTTATTTAGAAAGGCATATTGACAAGGAGCTGTCCAGGGTGCTTTCCTCTTCATCCCTGAGTACGCACATGTGCATCCATTTGTCTCAATATTTTTCCTTCCATAGCTTTCTTCATTCTGAGTGTATATGCATTTCTACTGCTTATTAGATCACTATCCAGCAGTCATGATTTTTAAAAAGGAAGGGAAAGCAGTACACTGAATACCAACTGTCACAAGCCTTCACCAGTCAAATGAACTGTGTTTCTGCTGCTGACTTGGCTTTAAGGAAAGAAAACTATTACTCAGAAAACTTTAAAGTGCTAAAAGGAGTTGCACAGAACTTACACATCTCTTTAGACTTGTGCTATGGGAGTTGCAATTTCTGTGTAAGTACTTGATTTTAAAGCATTTGAACTCTCATTCACTTCACACAGATCTTAGAGCTGCTGCTTGCCTTCTGTTCTGTGATAGAACTGCGTCATACCCTGCGGCAGGCAATACTGGAACCATCTGGCTTGCCAGTCTCTGGAAATACTAGATTTGTGACTCGCTCAAAGACTTTTGAACCATCTGTTGCATTGGTGCACTTGTCAAACCAACCATTGGAAGGCTCTGAAGACTGTTCAGTTCTAGCATTGCAACTATTCAAAGAGATTTTTGAGGTACCAAGACTGATAATTGAGTTTGAAGAGCTTCCTAACAGCTATGTTTTTAATCGATTTTTTTTTTAATAACTGTTAGCATTTTACTTGAAAAATGGCATGTAAAAATATACTTGAAATAAAATTCTTCCTGTTCTAGAATTCCATACTTGGTAAAACACCTTTTCTTTTAAAGACATGCTGTACTTTACAAATGTGTCTGTGTTGAAAGTTAAGTGGAAGATATGGCAGTTCATGAAGTCGTGATAGATACAAAGCTATCAATGAATTGCTTTCTAGGACTTGTAGAATGAGAAAGCTTCTGCTGTTTCGGTGGTGTTAAACTTCCTCCTCCAGTATGATACTGGAGCAGCAGTCTGAAAGAGCAAGAGGCTGGGAAAGCTGGAAGAGGCTAGTGGAGGAAGGGGTAGAATAAGCTTGGCTTCCTTGTTCTGTAGTTTTAAATATTAACATAACGTGTTTATTACAGGATATTATTAACAGTGGGAATAGTGCCTCAGCTGAACACTTTGTGGATCTTTTGCTGCCTGTTCTTCTTGATCATCTTCAGATGCCGGAACAGATTGTGGATGAGCTATTAGTGAAGAAAAAGTGTGAAAGAGTAGTCAAGGCTATTAATGTCCTGACAAATATCCTTTTTATGTGCCTGTTGGCAGTTAATTTATTATTCCTCCACCATGATTTGCTCTGTTAGAAGAAAAGTCCATCTTGGGACACTTTAATAGCTTCTAATGATAACTACCTTGATTTTACTTTGGACTATCATCTTGAAAGACCTTAAGTAGCTTTCTAATTGCTGTGAAATTATTTTGTAATACAGTGGTACAGGATAAAATGTGATGGCTATTCAACAGTGTAGAAACACTTTGCAGATCAAAAATGATGAGTGTTTTCTGTTGAAGGAGAGTTTGGGTGGCCATCTTCTTGATCAGTATAGTGGTTTTGCCTAGCTAAGTGCAGCTCCTAGCCAAATGTGATACAAATTTAGATCAGTGAAACAAGGAAGAATAGTGTGGAATTATTAAGTTTTACGCTCCTCTTGGAGTCCTTAGTGTCCACAGTGTCATGTAGTAAGGAGGACATGACTGCAGGATACAGTTCTGCATCTAAGCTGAGTTCTGTGAAGAAGTCTGTTTGCTAGTTCTTGTATTAGGGACTGATTGTTCATTGCCTTTTGTTCATCATCTTTCTTTATGCCACTCATTCCAGTGTGGTTTCCCTTAGCTGTCTGTTTCCAAGTAAATGTGCATTTTAATTGAAAAGTGAAGCTTACTTGGCTTGTGAGTTAGGCATGATTTAAGTGGTTTATGTAGTTGAGTGTTAAAAGCATTTTTGGAGGCTCTTGTGCTTTGATACACTAACTTTTGTGTCCTTTATTATTAGAAAGTGTTGCCTTTTGGTGCCAGTACCTCAGCATAAGTATATTAAGTTTATTCTTAACTCTCAGTCTACTGCTCTGTAGAGATGACATACTGAAAATGCGTACCTCGACGGTACTGACTGCCAGCCAATGCACCTCTCTAATAGAACACCAATTTACCTATAGTGGGATTGATGCTGGTTTGGGGACGAAAGTAGTGGACTCTAAAATGTGGTAAGCACGCAAATTTATCTAAGATCTTAATTTAGCAGGACTTGTATGAGAGTTGTGATATTGTTCCAATGGAAAGTATGTTGTAGTTGAAAGCACCATTTAAATGTGTGTAAATCAATACTGTTTTTAAATCAAACTTAGTATTTTTGTGACAATCAAAAGTAATGTTGCTGGTCAGTTCAATAAGTAAAACCTAGCTTAAACATTCAGATATTGTTTTTGGCTTAAGCTGGAGATCCACTTATGTGGAATAATGACCTTAAACCTCATGCAGTTGTTCAAGCTTATCAAAGTTGAAGCTTACCAGAACTGCCCATGGCACCTAATTTTTCATTTTAATTTTATGGAACTAGAGTTCAAAAAGTACCACAATTCAGTATGGGAGGGAATTTCTGCACTGAAAATGGAATATACCTTCCTTCAGCTTAGTGTCATTAACCTGAATGTCAATATAACTAAGACTTATATGGCCAAAAACCAGTGAAATATAACTGGACCTACAATTAAACCCTCCTCGCTTTCAACTTGAAAGTGGGTGGGTTTTTTGGTCTTCACTGTTGCCATCCTTAGCATGCTGGAGAAACTCAGCAGCATGACCAAGGAACTCAGTGATCTCTTGGTGTTGGCATTGTTGCCTTGCTAGCCATATTTAATTTCTTTATGAAGGTTGTTTTGTTTTGTTTTTTTAATTGATTGAATTTATTTATCGGTGCTGATTTGACAACTCTTGCTCTGCCTTTTGTTTTTCCACCCACTTTGCTTTTCTATTTGTATGTTTAAAAGCAAACTTGCTGCTGATATTATTTTGAAAATGCTTGATCTTATGAGCAGACTGAAGCAGGATGTACCTGGTATGGAGGTCAGCTTCTACAAAATTTTACAGGTATGATATTTTAAAATATCTTCTGTAAAGTATCTCTGAAGCAAAGTGTCACTGCACTACAGTGGGTTTAGTTCTAAATGTATGGCATGTTTATCTCTGAAGTGGTAAAACCTGTAGGAAAATACAGTCCCCTGGGCACAATTCTTAAAGTTTGTTTTATTGTTAATTCTTCTAAAATAAGAGTAATTGCTTTTACTACGATCATTTATTTCAGTAATGCATGTAAAATCATATTTCAGCTACCTGGTAAGAATTATTCTTTTAAGACTGTGTTAGACTGCAGTTTAAAGGTAGCAAACTAGAAAAAAGTATCACAATTGTATAATTATTAGCAGGGTTCATTACTGTTAAATGTAGACATCTAATTTGTGACTTTATATAGTCAAAACAGTTTCTGGTAACTATTGTTCAGATTGTACCTTAACAATTTACTTTGTAGATGGAAAAGTAATGCAGACAGTCAAACACTTCATGCTGTTTTGGACAGTTTTCTTTCAAACATGGGAATTGTGTAATTTAATGCGTAGCAATGAGAGTTTCACAGTCCTCGAGGAAAGCCCTTATCGAACTTAAGCTTGTGACCCTTTATGATGGAAATCAAGTACTTGAAAATTTGAAGGATTTAAGTAGTCTCTTGACCTGTTGCATTGGCTTTAATGGCAAAATACACTTCTAAATACTCTGAAGTATAAACTATTTTTAAAATCATTTGTTTTCCATTGACTTCAGACTCAGAAACTTAGAAGGGCAAACTTTAAGAAGGTAGTTTAAGTTTTGATTAAAACATTTCTGTGCTCATGGGCCTTGATATTGTCATGTCTGAGTGGTTTTGGTTTTTTATTTGTTGTTGACTGTTATATCCTGTTTTGACCAAAGTGGTTTCTTCCTTAGGATCAACGCTTGATTATGCCTTTGACGTTTGCTTTAACATCAGATCATAGAGAGCAAGTCCAAGTGGGACTTAGAATACTGTTTGAGGCTGCACCCTTACCAGATTTTCCTGCCATAGTGTAAGTTTATTTTTATGTAAGTCTGGTAGGGTTTGACATTTTTATGGGCTTAGTGATATTTATATTTCTTGGCATATTACCTTCAGTTCATCAGAGACAGAAACTTTAGAAAAATTATCTTGTTTCTTCTTTATCTGCAGTTAAGAGACAGTAGTGATCTTGGAGGCCTGAGGAAGTAGTTCAAATGTTGATGGTATTCAATTAACATCAGATTCTAGAAAGCATGGTAGTGACTGACTTCTGTCCCTCAAGATTCATTTGCCTGGAGTCTGTGCTTGGAACTTTCTACTTGGAGTGCATCTAATAGTCTAGTCTGACTGTCAGATTTCTCTCTCTACTGAACTTTGTCACGCATGTCACTCTTCAGTTTCTAAAGCTTTGCTTACCCTTTTGCAGTAGCTTCCAAGAAAGAACAGAATAGGATAAGACATGGGCAGATGGCAGTTCAGGTAGTATTTAAGGTGGTCTAAATAGAGTTTCTCAATGTCTTTCTCCTATTTGATGGAGTCCTTATTTCCGTAGATGTCACAAAATAGGAAAAAACGATCTTAAGTTGTATCATGGTCTTTGCAACCTAGAAAACCAATCTGAAACTTCTTCCCTTTTTGTTAGCAAAGGGGAAATTGTTTGAAAGGACTTCCAGATTGGATGCCTTTTTGACATTTGAGCTTCTTTTCCTGAGTGAAAGATTTGTAACGTAACTAGTTTATCTTGGAACAGTGACTGAATTATTACTTATATGGGGGGGGGAAGTAAAGGAAGGTGACCTAACCAAATCATGGTAATTTGCCTCATTTGTGGGTTGGTTTGGTTGTTTTTCAGAAAGCTTGTGAGGTTAGTGGCATGTACTGGAACTTCAAAAAACAAACAAAAAAATTCCCCACAGCTAAGGAATCGTACTCTTCTCTATCATAACCCAAAAATAGACTAGTGATAAGAACACAATAATAAGAGTCCAAAACTGTGTTCATACTGAAAACATCAGTGCTGTTTTTGTGATTACCAAGTAGTGCTATGTATCAATATATCTAGTTATCTGTAGACTTCAGGAGGGAAATATGGGAGGGGGTGAGGGGGTGATATGTATTTAGAGGAATGTCTGTAAAACCATCAGAACGAGTACAAAATAAATTCTGAAAGCTGAAGCGCCAACCCAAATATAGTTTTGGAAGAGGTATGCAGCTGTGGAGGTCTCAGGTTGCAGGGAGCGCTTGGGACAACTTACTAAAGCTGGACCAGCAGGAGGTGGTCTGCTAGCCTGCAGGAGGTGTGCAGTTGCTGAGGATCTGTGGCCAAATAAAGGAGCTGTGGGAGGTCAGCAGCCTATGAATATTGGAGGTAATGAGGAAGAGATTGACCAGATCTTTGAGACCTTGCAATTTCAAGTGCCTGAGACCCCAGATGTACCAAAGGAGGGGCAGACAGAGTCTATGCATGTCAGGTTGGGAAAGAGAGACTCCCATGATGGCGATGCCTGGAAGCCATGGGGCAACAGGTGATGTTCCCCTCAATTCTGCCAGGGAAAGGGGAAGGACTTGAGGAGCTGTGGACAGGTTCTATAGGTCAACAATTAGTTGTATAACCAGTGTCAGAAACAGTTTTAGTTTGGTTTCCATGACAATGAGGATCAAGGACTGGCCAACCTGATGAGACCTAAAAGCTACAAGAGAGGGGAAAAGATGACCAACAATCAAGTGAGGAAGTGGTAGACTGGGTTGGAAAACAAAGGGGTTTGTATTTATGTGAACAGGAGGAACCTTACATTCAACACCATAAGACTAAAGCTGGGTCACCCCAATATGCACATAAATAAGAGATTTCCTTCAGGACAGTATTGTAAGGGGAAAGTCCTCATACTCTTCCTGGGAAATCAGCAAAGTGGGGTAACGCTCTGAAATGCCTGCAAAATAATACACACAGCATTGGGAAAAAACAGGAGAAACTGGAAGTCTGCATGCAGTTAACAAGGCTATGGAATCGCAGAGCTGTGGTGGGATGGCTCACATCACTGGAGTGCTGCAGTGGATGGATACAGGCCCTTTAGGAAGGTTGAGCCAGAAAGTGAGGAAGGAGAGTCACCGTTTTTATGAGAGCACAAAGGGAATGCATGGAACTCTGCCTTGGGACAGATAAACCAGCTGAGAATTTGAGTTAGGATTAGGAGGCAGACCAAAATGGGCCATGTCATAGTGGGTGTCTGCTACAGACTGCCACATCAGAAAGAAGTAGTAGATGAAGCCTTTAGACAGCTGGAAGAAGCCTCACATTCACAGGCTGTGGTCCTTGTAGAAGACTTTAACCACCTTGGTATTTGCTGAAGAGGTAACGCAGTAGGCCACAAACAATACAGGAGGCTTCTGGAGCACATTGATGACCATTTCCTAACACAGAGAACTGAAGAGCTGATGATAGGAGACATCCTGCTCACTTTTATTACTTACAAACAAGGAACTGTTTCGGGATGTGAAGGTCAGTGACGTCCTTGACTGCAGTGACCATGAGATGGTGATGCTTAAGTTCCTGAGAGGACAGAACAGGGCAAAAAGTAGGATCACAACCCTGGCCTTCAGGAGAGCAGATCTTTACCTCTTTCATGATCTGCTTGGAAGAATCCCATGGGATACAGCCCCGAGGAGAAGAGGGGTCAAGGAGAGCTGGTTGGTTAACTTTTTTTACTTTTTTTCCCTCTCCTGCCCCATCCCTTTCACCCTTCCTTCCCAAAGGATTATTTTCTTCAAGGCCTTAATGGTCCATCCCAATGAGCAGAAAATCAAACAAACATGGTGGGAGACCTGCAAGGAGCTCCTGACAAAACTCAAATATAAAAAGGAAGCATGCAAGAGGTGGAAGCAGAGACAGATGACCTGGGAGGAATATAGAGAAAGTATTCAAGTATACAGAGATAGGTTTAGAAAAGCCAGAGCTCACCTGGAGTTGAACCTGGTGACGGATGTGAAGGGCAACAAGAAAGATTTCTATCAGTACATCAGCAGCAAAAGACATACTATGAGAAATGTGTGCTTTTCTGCTGAATGGGGCAGGGGACCTGGTGACAAAGGACATGGAAAAGGTTGACATACTTGATGCCTTGTTCACCTTGGTCTTCACCGATTTGCCTTTGGGAATCCTAGGCCCCTGAGAACAATGGGAAAGTATGGAGGAAAGAAGACTTACCCTGGGTAGCAGAGGATGATGTTATAGAACATTTAAACAAACTGGACATACAGAAGTCCATGAGACCTGACAGGATGCACCCATGAGTGCTTAGGGAGTTGGCTGATGTCATTACAAGGCCACCCTAGATTATCTTTGAAAAGTCATGGTGATTGGGAGAGGTTCCTGAGGACTGGAAGAAAGCAAATGTGACTTCTGTCTTCAGGAATGGCAAAGACTATCAATAGCACCTTGGACTGCATTAGGAAGAGTACTGCTGGCAGGTCAAAGGAGGGGATCGTTCCCCTCTGCTCAGCCCTGGTGCAATCACATCTGGAGTGGTGTGTCCAGGTCTGCGCTCGCCAGCATGAAAGAGATACAAACATATTAGAGGAGTCTAGTGAAGGGCCATTAAGAAGTTTGAGGGAGGAGCATGTGTCATATAAGGTGAGACAGCAAGCTGTGATTGTTTAATTTTGAGAAGACTTGGGGGGAGTCTTATCTATGTGTATAAATGTCTAATGGAAAGGAACAAAGAAGATTGAGCGAGAGAGTCTTCTCAGTGGTATCTATCAATAGGACAAGAGGTAGGCACAAACTGAAATATAAGGAAAAAAAAAATTTAATTTCTTTAAATGTAAGGGGGGGGAACCAAACCACTTTACTATAGGGAGAGTCAAACACTGGAAAAAGTTGCCCAGAGAAGTTGTGGAGTCTTCATCTTTTGAGACAGTCAAAACTACTGAACATAGTCCTGGGCAACCTGCTTAGAGCAGGAGAGTTGAACTGGATGATCTGTGGAGGTCTCTTTCAACTTCAGCTATTCTATGATCATGTGATTTTTGTGGATATAGGAAACATTTTTATAATGGCCAGTAACAAATAGTCTGACTGGAAGAATGAAGGATCTGTACAATCTGATATGCCTGGAGTTGTACAGTGGAATAGCCAAATAATATGTCTATAAATGCAAGTTAAAAATTGTCTTTGTTCACTTAGGAAGCAATTGAGACAGCACTTCAGTGAAGTGGTAGGGATAACTTAGTAATTAAGGAATTTATTGAGAGGAAAAGATTTTTGACTGGTTCCTCAAAAATCAGCTCTTTTGACTTCCTGTTCTCTCTGATTTCGAACATGTCGTTAGTAGCTGCCTTGAAAATACCAACCACAAATTGCATACAGACAATGGAATATAGGTACTGTAATTATTTCTGTCTTACCTTTTGTGTTCTTTTTCTCTGTACAAATTTTAACCAATTGCACTTTTATCTGTATACTTATATTTTGGTTGAAACTTAGAAAATGCAATGTGGTGTACTCAATATAGTATTGTAAAATAGCATCACAGACAAGGAAAAACTAAAGTTTATTGGTAGCACTCTGCCTTTTTGTGATTCAATCTTCTGATTTTTATGTCTAATAAAAATTCTTACTAAATACCTTCTCAACCTTCTTACTCACAAACAGTGGCCTAGTTAAACTGAATAATGACATGTGAAATAATGTGTTTCTCAGGCTAATAAGACAGATGATCTCTTCTGCTCAAGAAGAGCTGAACACCGTGCCCTTTCTGGCAAGATACTGCATTTGTTTCTAAAGGCTAGCTGTGACAGGCTTTCCTACTTTTTCTGTCTCTGGATAGTTTGGGCATGTGTCTGATACTACATCTTAATGTTGCGTGATAATGCAAATGTGACTGCTCTGTAATCTCTTCAATGAAAGAGAAGTTAATTATGTTATGAAATAGTTCTTGTCTTCAATCCTTGCAATGATATTTGTAGCAGGTTGTCTCATTAATAATAACCTTTATGCTTATACAGGCTTGGTGAAAGTATTGCGGCAAATAACGCTTACAGACAACAAGAAATGGAGCACGCATCGAAAAGAATCCAAATGCAGTCACCTGTGACCAATGTTACTTCGGTGAGGAGTTCTTCATCCTGTCCTTCAAGTGATGAATCCACAGCTTCAAATATTCAGGAACTAATACAAAAACTTCATTCTGGACTAGAGGTTAGTAGAATTTATATATCCTTGTTAATGTTTGACTCTTTTATACTGGGGGGGACCCAAATTAAAATCCAAATGTCAGGCTATAGCACATGTATCAGTTGAGTTCAGTTTAGATTTCTACCTATTTAGAATGTACTCTTTTTACTGAGCTCCTGAGTAGAATTTAATGATGATTCTTTGTGCTACATCAGAAGCTGGACTCATTATTGAGATCCCTTTCTCCAGTAGGGTTGTCAGATGTGGAGGCAGGTGTCAGATATAGTTGCAACTGCCTAGACTTGCTGGGACACTTACAAGGAGCCTCCTCCCCCTACTTCCTAAGAAATAGCCTGTAATAAAATAGAATGATATGCTGCTTTAGAGTATGGTGCATCCCTTGTGTGCCTAAACACACATACAGACATTTTCCTTTTCTCACATGTGGCTGACTTTAGCATTTGCAGTTCAATTTTTGTCACCTTCTTGGAAAGGCACTATTATTACTTCAGAAGAAAGATTTTTGCTTCCCTCTGCGGCAACATGCATTGTGAATGAGACACTCAAACAGGCACTACATACAATGTGTTTCTTTGCAGGCCATACTGTCAGGTAATGAATATATTTCCTCTCTTCTGTTCCAAGCAAGTAGCTTTTTAGCTGCTTTAGAGTGAGGGATTGTTGCTTCTACTTTCTTTTGGCTTAAAAGAACAGTATGCAAATTGGCAAAATGAACCGAAAGTGCCCGATAACTGCTTGATATCTGCATTAATGGCATTGCCTCCAGCCTTAGCTTTGCAACCCTCCTCTTTGTTGTAAGTGATAATGAAACTCAGCAAGCTACCAGCTCCAGACAGCAGTCAGAATAATAGTGAAAAAGGTCAAGTTGAGTCTTCATTGGCTTACTTTGTACGCTGCCACTGGATTGATCATTCTTTTCAGGATTGCACATGACAGTCTGTAGGTGCTTTGCTGTGTATATATTAACATAAGTCAAAGCAGCCACAGGTACCTAAAAGCACTAGTGCAGCAGCTTCAGTAATGTGACAGGTTGTAAAGCTCCTTCGATTTTTGAGGGGAGAAAGTTGTTGATGAATTGTTGAGCGAATCTTTTCTTAGACCTTCTCATTAGTAGAACTTCCCTTTAAAAATCAATATACATATTCACTTAAAATATCCGGTACTTCATCTCTGTGTGCGTTCCATATGTTGTGTGAAGCTCAAGTGTGTGTAAAAACATAATTAAGAGAACACTTTTAATAGTATTACTGTACAGAGAGAGTGAATAGAACTTACAGAAGTTTTTCTTATAGTAGTAACATTTAAAAGGACAGAGAGATGACAACTTTGCAAGCAGGAAAAGAAACTACTTGTTTTGTACTTTAGGGACAGGAAAATGAGCTGAGAACTGGAGCTAGGCAAGGGCTATTGTTAATATGTAAAAAACTTCTTGCATAATGTTTCAAAGTGGTGCAGAGATAGCAGCTTTTCAGTAGGTGTTCATGTATGAACAGCTGGGGTAGCTTGTATAGCATCCTTTGAGAACAACTTTCCTGGGCCTTTTCTGATAGTCTGTATGTCGAGAAGGCCTCTGAGTATGAGCGAGGATTTTTAGCCATGTGTATTTTGTGCTGTTATTATTAGGGCAAATTACTTTGTGTCCTATGAGAGGGCTGCTAATTCTCCAGCAAAGATTAGACTAAGGGGAACTAGTATAGAGTGGTGATGTTCCCTTTTCATAGTGCTGGACTGATAATCTTCTGCATATGAATCCTTCTCAGCCTAAATAGTTCAATTATTCACAAACTTTCCACAGGAGTCAGGTGGATGCATTTGAGCAGGCAGTATCAGAAATATCGATAAGAACTCAAAAAGCTGGTGGACAGGTGGAATTCACAAAACTACTGAGCTCTTTAGGGACACGTTACCTATCTAAGTAAATACAAATTTACAGTGGCAATAATTGGAAAACATTTCCACAGATGAAGGAGCCGTTCACTGATATGAGGATCTCTGACATAATGGATGTCTATGAGCAGAAGCTGTCAGCATTAGCAGTGAGTACAACCTAACATGTGTGGGTACGCTGCTGTCTGGACATTCAAAAAATGTTAATAAAAACCATTCTTCCTATGTAGTCTAAAGAAAGTAGGCTGCAAGGCTTTTTGGAAGCAAAGGCACTAGCTCTGGCTCAGGCGGATAGGCTGATGGCTCAATATCGATGTCAGAGAGCCCAGGCTGAGTCTGAGGTAAGTAGCAGGGTCTTCCTTCTGGGACTCTGGGATGGGACTGAGTAGTAGTTGGCAGCTTTAACTGTGATTCCATGTGTGGAAACTATACTGTTTAGCTGTAAGCTATGCTTGCAAGTTAGAGTGGTCTTAATTTTCATCATAAACATCCTGTTTTCTTTTGGATTGTTCTTTGCAACAGTTTTCTTTAATGTCCTTTCCCTTACAGGAAGTCAACAGAATTAACCTACAGTACTGATTATTGTTTGTTAACCGTTAATTTAATGGTAGTAATCTTGAAAATTAATAAAGCCACTTACTAGAATTCTATATAGAATTTGCTGGTATACGAAGAACTCTTTTCTGTTTGTGCCTTTTAATCACTTGTCAAAGACGAACTTTCAAAAAAGCATGTTTCCATGGGGTACGTATTTGAGGTGAAAACTGAATAATTTCTATTCTTTAAAGGTTGTAATAAAGATTGGGCTGTGGATTACTAATCCATAGCTAAAATGAATCATCTTTTACTTTTTTTCTTCCCTCCCCACCTCACACTGTCTATAAAGGGAGCTAAAGGAACTTAGAGTGAACAAATTAATCTGTAGTTAATATTAGGTGAGAGAAACCCATTTCCTAATGTAGCTGATGGCATTTTAGTGTTAGATCTGTGGCTTCAAATATGCCTAGTACAAAGTGACTTGTGAAACAGAATTGCTTGTAATTATGTGTTGGTTTTTTTGGTGGGGGGTCTTTCCACTCAAAGGCAAGAACTCTTGCTGCAATGTTGAAGGATGCAGAACGAAAAAATGAAGAACTTAATGATTTGCTGAAAGCTCAGCAAGTAGAATCTGAAAAAGCACAGACTGATATTGAACAGCTCTTTCAGCACAACAGGAAATTACAAACAGTTGCTGAAGAACATGAAATACTGAAAAAATCCTCTGTTGATCTTCTTCAAAGGTAAGGCGCGTAAGATTTCTAAGCAAATACTTCATATTCAAAGAGTGATGAAGCCCTTTATTGGACTAAGTACATTAGAAGGGCAACACTACATGGAACTTCATGTTTTTAAGTGAAAAATTCTTTTTTTTTTCCTATGTGCTTGTCGATGAGGTTAGCTTAAGTCATTCAAGAAGTTAATACGGTAAATGGAATGAGAACTAAAGTTGTAGATGTTGAAGGTCCAGTTCAGGAAATAGCATGAACTTTGTATAAAAGGGAGCATCATTCTTTAAGACACAGAATTGACAATGGGTAGTTTCTGTTAGTATTATACCATACTCTCAGGTTTTTTTCTTTGATCTTATATGCTGTCTTGACGAAATACTATAAATAGTCTGGAGAAGCAACCAATACAGTATGTCTGCTTAAGATAGGAGTTTGCATCTTTGACCACTTCTATAGCAAATTTGACTGAAATCAGGTAAAAGTGAGGTAGGGAGGAAGGAAGCATCTTGTGTGTCCCGAACTACTTATAAGCATTATTTCTTTAGGATCTTAAGCTAAAAAAGGACACAGAAATGTGAGACACAAAAAGTACGTAAGGATAGAAACTATTTATGAAAATAGAATATGCTTTGGAAGAATAAAGGCTTAAAAGAGCTTTGGCTTTTCAACTCGCATGAATTGGTCTCGTCACTAGGTGTCAGCAAGGCAAAGCAGCTGATAAAACTGAAAGCAAGTTTCTTGCTTAATAATGGGAGCAGGCGTTATATCAGACAATTGTGAAGGCACACTGCTGCCAGTGAAGGAGTCATTGAGGGAGGAAAAAAATGTATAAAACTTCAGTCCATTGTGGGGTTTCTTGATTAAGTATCTAGTATGGTCACTGTGGAAGTGCCTCCTTTGTTGCTTAAATTATATGCAGCCATACACTCTGTGAACATGCATTTGACTAATTTCACTGAAATGAAACAGCTTCGCTCTAGTATCTAACAGTTGTAAAGTGGAAATAAAATAGTTTTCTGATCTTTACAATGTGTTTATAAAGCAAAAACTTGCTTTCTAAACAGTCTGCACACATTTAAATATACTGTTCCTTAAGAACAATCAGATAACTGACATTGGGGAGAGAATTTTCCTTTTGATAGGAAGACATTTGCTTAGAGCAGGAGACGTGCCTCATAAACTTGCATTAATTGCACGTTGCATTGTCTTCAGTATGTTCAGTTTTTAGTATCACCAGACAACTGCAGGTCAAAGACTGACTCAGAGGGTCCCTTAAAAAGTGACTGCAAGTAGTTAATTTATAACAGTTTGTGTATGTCAAATTTTTAAAGGCATCTGTATGTTTTTGTTAGTTCCTAAGAGTTTTCTACTAGAGGAAGGTTGCTTCCTGATCGTTAATCATTAAGGATATGCAAGGGATCCACTGAAGCTTGGTTTGGTTGTTTTCCTTCCTCCAAGTATGTTCATTTAAAAAACAAACAAAAAAACTCCACCCAAACAAACAACAAATTACCACCAAAAAATCCTCAACCAAACACTACCCCCCAAACCACCTGGCTTTTAGCTTGGATGGGATGATTGCACAGGTGAGGTCAAATATTATTTGACAAACTATTAAAGTAAAAGCTCTTCAAAAGCACTTACACTCTTCAACCATAACCCCCCCTAATTCATTTGTAGGTATGAAACAACTGAAAGACAATATAAAGATCTACAAAATACATGTGATTCACTAAATAAACAAATGGAAGCAATGAAGAAACTAAATGAATCACTCAAGCAGCAGAACGACAGGTAAGTTCAATTCAGTCATCTTAAAGCAAACAAAAGCTAAATGATAAAATTAAATAGCACTTAAAGCACAATTGAAAAATTGAGATTAAAGTAGCATCTGAGAAGTGGAGTTAGAGAAAGCAAAAGATTCTTCAGAGTTGCTTTATATGTGTATGCTAGATGAAAACCCGTAGTAGTGACTTTGGTGGCTTACTTTTCTCCTGTATTGGTTGGAGGCAGGGTGGAATAGCCACAGACTTCAGCAATACTAGGTATTAGAGAGTATTGAAAACAATCCAATTCTTGGGTGCACTTGTGGGGGTGGGGAGGTGTCTTTTCGGTGGTTCTTGAGTTCTTAAAGGCTGTTATCATTCAAAGACTTCCATGTATTCCCTTTTTAGCCTGCAAGGCTTCTCTGCAGTGTTTTCAGATAAGAAAAAAACGTTTACCCTACTAAACTAATACATTTAAAAATTATATTAGAAATAGGTTGGTATTCCGTTGTGGTATAAAACTTCATTCCTCAACCATAAAACTAACATTACTTATGTCTTCTTGAGGACTAATTATTTTTTTTTCCTTTTTGATTTTTTCCTTTTTTTCCTTTTCCTTAAAATAGAGGTCTGATGTACCTTTCACCAATGTAACTAAGGAAATGGGGTTCCTATTTGAGACATTTTATTTAATACTTAATTTTGCAGAAGATATCTTTAAAATATGCTCATAGGCAGGCCTCGTATTCAGTTTAGAAATAAAACGCTATTCTTGGTTTTACTTGCAAAGTTGACTTCATCCTTCCAGACTCTTGCCTTATCATTAATCAGAGCAGTCCAAATCACTGCCTTGAGTTCTGATTCAAATGTATCAACGTGAAAATTTTTCCATTAGTTTGCTGCTGTATAAATTTGGACACTTACTTTCACTGGTGCAGTACACAGCTCAGTGTAATTGGGGAAATATTCCGATGAAAGGTGGCCCTTTTTAAAGGCAGGTCACGGGAGCAGTTATTCCTTGAACTGCCACGAACACAACGGAGACCATGGAAATACACTCTCCCTCTCTATTGCTAGAGGCTGCAGCTTAGGAACTGGTAGATAGTAAGTGGATAAACCAGTAAACAAAAATGACAGTAGATGCCATCTAGGCAAGGCAAGTGGTAGTTAGAATATGCCTTAGAAATTAGGCTAACTAGTAACAGAAAAAGTAGATTAGCTTCACAGAGTACAAAATGCTCAGGTTACAGCTATGTTGCTGATAGATGACAGTACCTATAAATTAAATGATCATGGAAATCAAATATTATCCTAACTAGTGAGGACTGCAGCAGACCTATATATGGGCTACAGTGATATCTTAAGAAATGGTCGTTTTTGCTGAGTGTTGTGTGACAATCTGGAAGATGTTCAGAATGGTATTGGAAAATCTTTATGTATAGATGTGCTTGCATGGATAATAACTGAAACAGGTTTTACTAATGGTATTGTCGATTCAGAAGCATACTAAGAGCTAAAAGGCCAGTATCCTTAATCACCAACGTCAGTAAATTTTGACTTGGATTGAAAGACAATTTCGGTTCCACCATGGTATTTTGAATGCTTTGTTGTAATCTAAGGCAAGTTTCTGGTGTTTAAGGTCCGGGTATGAACCTTTTCAGTAGTATCTACCATGTGTCCACGATCAGAGAAGGGAAATGCCTGTTTCGTAGGGAGGAAAAAAGGAAATGAAATCTCTCTGTACTCTCACCCTGCAAATTCATAGGTTTGTTGATTTAAAGCTCCTGACAGCAATCGGAAATGATACAAAAATAATTCTAGCTTCATAGGATAAAGAAATGGTGGCGTACCTCACTTTGATCATGAAAATGTGTTTCTCTGCAATTTTAGGACTGCTGCACAGTTGATGGAAACCGAAGATCACAGAAAAGAATTACAGCAACAGCTACAGGAGAGAGATGGCAAAATAGCAAGTAAGTAACGTACCTAAAGGTCACTGAACATAGAGAACTAACTGGATTAACTAGATGTTGTTATTAAATGCCCTAGATAAGCAGCTATATCTTACTAAGTAATATACAAATCTTAAAGTGAGCCAGGGATACATAATTTAACAATTGAACGAAACAAACATAGATTTTTATTTTTTTGAAAGGATACATAAATGTGATTTCTCAGACTATATGGACTTCACTGAATCTCTGCACAGCATCATGTGTCCCTTCAGGATCTTTTTACAGCATGTCCATTAGAACTATTTTTCTGTAGGAGCTGCAAATTATGAGAGCTTAATTTAACTCTTCTGCAAATGACTGGTAGCAGCCACTAAAACCTAGCAGTAGGTGGCACTACTCAGTAACGCAATTATTAGCGGCCATATTGAGTCTAAAATGCTTGTTTCCCAGGCAATGCAGTATCTCTTTTTTTCTAAGTTTAGCAACCCATCTTTAATGTGTTCATTTTCTTAAGCCTTGCAACAGAAAATAAAAGTTCTGGAAGAAAAACTGAAAATGCAACAGAAAGAAAAATCAGATATGGAACAAACTGTAGATATTCTTAGAAAGGAATTAAGTAAAACGGAACAAGCAAGGAAAGAACTGAGTATCAAGGTAAGGAATTATTTGCACCTGCATTCTAGAGATCGGAATTTTGGATCCCTGTATAACTGATAGAGTTGGTGAATCAATATTTCAGTGGTAAAGTAGCTAAAGAAACTAGAGCAGTCTATCTAGTGGACAAGAACAAATTTATCCTAGCTTTAATTGTATACCTTTTGAGTTTTGAGTAGCTGGGCTTGAATTTAAGAGGAAAGCAGTCAAGGTTAGGTTCTAATGAGGCTATATGGTGCATGGTGTGAGAGTGCATAATGTTTGGAAGAAAACCAGAACACCTGTAGTGCAATATTAAATAAGAGAATGTATCACACTCCTCTTCAGTAGTTTTGACTGCTGTAAAATGTGAATTGGCTTACTCTCCCCTTTCTCACATCCTGAATTAAGGTACATATGCTACATATGTACGGACCAAAATGCATCTGATTTTCTTTTTTTGATCTTTGAAATTCTAATGAAATACTCATTTTTATCTCTAAGAAAAATAGTGTCTTTTTTTCAAAATAGAGACCAGTTTGGCTACACCAAGTTAACCAGGTGATGTTTAAAAAACAAAACAAAATCCCCAAAACTTCAGTGCAGATTATATGTCCTTGCCTCTAGTTAAGGCTCCCTATAAACTCACAAGTCAGAGATTCATTTTACATGCAAACTGACCAGTAATCCCAAAGTGTGCAGTCTGGCATCCATTCTCTGGAAGCAAAGTCTAATCTCTCCAGGCAATATTATCCAGTATATAGCAAATATTTCCCTTGTTCTCGGTAAATATTTGCTGGTGTAGGGCTTGAAATGAAATGTGGATGGCTTAACTGTGAACACTTCTGCTTAAATAGGGCAATGATAACATGGCAGGGGGGGATATTTGGTGCTTTCCCATGGTATCTAACGTTTTGAAGTGTGGCAGTAGCTGTAATTATTCATGTGCACCAAATGTATAGCTGAGAGAGAGATTTCTGAAACAAGCTTGTAATTTTAAAACTGTGCTTTTTAATTACTTGCTTAAATTCACCACCAAGCCACTTGGCTTTCACTGTATTGTGTATGATTTTCGGTTGATAATGGATGAAATGATAACGTTTTGGTTGTTTCTGCAGGCATCTTCTCTGGAAGTTCAAAAATCCCAGTTGGAAGGACGCTTGGAAGAAAAAGAAGCACTTGTAAAACTACAGAAGGAAGAATTGAACAAACACTCCAATATGATTGCAATGATTCACAGTCTAAGTGGTGGCAAGTTAAGTGCAGAAACAGTGAACCTCACTTTGTAGGGCTCTGTTGTTAAGGTTTTAGTATTTTATACATATGTATGAATACATGTAAAGATTTTTAAACTTGTAGCTAGCATACTACCTGGCTAAAAAAAAATCTAAAATTAAAGTAGCTTAACTATCAGTTGGGAAGAAAAAGTAGTAATTGTGGAAGCTTTGTTCTAAAAAAAAAAAAAACTGAGCTACTGTATAGCAAATAGGTCTTCTGATGGTCTTGGTAGAACTATTATCTGTATTGGGAGCTGAATGCAACTTTTGTTGGTGGCTAGCCTTCCTAAAAATATTTAGGGAAATGTACAGCAAAATAGGAGTCACGGTCAACATTTTGTCTGTATATTCTTCTAATGGCTGTCTGGTAATCAGCGTGCTTTGTAGGTTAAGCACTCTTATAATTTAATCTTGTTAATTCTGACTATTCTGAATACCATTATTATTTGTGCAGTGTTGCTTCCTGATGTCTAAGGTACAAACATAAAAATAAAATGGATTATATCAATTAGAACATGTTACATTGAAAGCTGTATTTATCAGCGTATTGGTGCAAGTGTTTCATGTGGAGGTGTTTATAATTATGAGGAGATATGAATTTGAGCAAGTAGAACACCACATCTGAATGACTTTTCAGCAAAGAGCATCAATTAGGGAAAGCATGCTAAAATGAAATACATGAATCTACAAATATTTCTTAAATACTAGATAATACTTTCCTAATGCTTTCCTGATCCTACAACACTTCCTTTCATTCTTGAAAAAAGATCTGCACTCTTTTGACAGTCCTGTGTGGTGCATGGTAACTATTGTCAGCATTGTCACTTTCTCCTGTACATCAGCAGGATTTCATATATTGTTCATAGATAACTATTTAGATAATTTTTTTTTTTAAATGTACTTTCATATGAAAGACTAGTACTAGAATTTGATGCATGTTTTTGAGTGGGAGAATACTGTCCTTAGTTTATATGTGGCACAAATAACGTGTCTTTTAGCAGTTGGCAGAATTATTTCATTAGTATCTGTATCTCGATAGAACTACCAGAGTTTTGGGTGATCTAATATATATCTTTTTCTGTAGCATTACAGCCTTTATTTGTATTGAGTTTGTAATGGCTAGATTTTAAAATATTGAGATTCTTGGTTTTTTCAGCTGTGTAATAGATGTGTCTTAATGAATCTGTTCCACTCATGTCTAAGTACAGCCTTGTACATTCTGTTGCAATTATACAACATCAGATGAATTTTATTCTGTTCCTGAAATATTTTTTTTTTATATAACTTAACCACAGGTAAGATTTATAGACATTGTTCTGGTCTCTGTGAAGACTAGGAGAATAAAAAAAAATAATTGCTCTATTTTCTGAGGTTTATGTAGTCTCTTATGTAAATTATAGGGATGATTGCCAGCTTTGTGCACAATACATGCAGTTTGGTTGCCTTTTTGTGTAAAATGCAGTTATTGCTTAGGAAGGTCAAAAAAAGTGTTATCTGAATTGCTGAGGGTGACGGGTTTTGTTAGTTTTGCAAGCTCGGTTGGGAAAGAAAGTTTCATTAACCATACGTTTTTACTTCAGTCTAATGGGTTAAATTTTGAGTGTCAAAGTAGATTTGTAGACACGGGTTCATTTCTATTTAAGTCTTTTGGTCATGGGGAAAGGGTAAGTAAATGGGTTGGGAGGGGGGTGTTCCCTTTCTGTCAGAAACTGCTCGTGTAAAGAAATTCAAGCAGGAAATGTCAAGCATGTTACTAATTAAACTGATAAATGCTGGTCTGACTTTGTTTTCAAATGGTGGAATGGGAGGGCAAAAAGTCAAGCTGCTCACGATGGTAAGGTTATGCAGTAATAAGGTTCATATCACCAGAAAATGGTAAAGGAATCTTTGGAGTTTATATGGTAGAATCCACAGTAATAAGCATGATGTATAAATATTGATTTGGTGGTTGTTTTTTTTTCCCCTGGAAAAATGTGCTGCTTCAGTATGCTGCTTTAAACCAAGTGTTGCTGAACTCGGGGTTGCATAGCAGATAAATGCATGGACGTGTCAAGCTACTTTGACAGCATTTCTGTGTTCTTTTCTGGCAGTGCTTTTCCAATTGGTAATGAGTAGTGGCTAATGGAACTAGCAAATACATTGATATCTGTTTAAAATGTTGTTCAAAGCATATAGCATTTTTCACTGTAGAGATCTACAGGTTTTTCTACACTTAATTCACGCGGAGAAATAGCTGTGTTGTAGGGTTTTGCTTTCAGGCATCTTGGTATGATCAGTGTTGAAAACAGTTCTGTAATAAGATTCCCTGTGCACTTTTCATATTCTTGTTACATGCTGTATCAAATATGCTATTGGATTTTTTTCTTTCCCCAGAGGGTCCCTTATTTAATGCAGAGAGTAGTTGGCACCAGCATGACAAATAGCTCTTCAATAGAGTCGATTTTTAATTATCTGTGTGTTATGTCAGGTTGTCAGTTGCCTGTTTTACAAGTGCAAAGACTCTTGAGCTGTCTTAGTTCAGAGCAACCTCACGTCTCAATGTCAGACACTCGAGTACTTCTTATCTGAAAGTAGCTGCCTTTTATTCTACGTAATCTGGGGAAAGTTTTCCATTCAGCATGTGATTCTATACAGCTTTGCAAATTATTTCCATCCTGCTGTAAAAACAGTATTTCTCCTTCTCTAGTGTATTTTCTGTGCTGCCTAGTTTTTGGTGTACTTTGGGGGGGGATACTGAGATGGTAAACAGTTTGGAGTTGACGCTCCTCAATTCAGCATCTGTTGTCGTCATCTTACCACTCCCCTTCTCTGTGGTCTTGATTCTGCATTCTTTGATCTTTTTCCACTTAGTGCTAGTGGTTTATTTAGGCTTTCACTTTCCCCTACTTCTGCATCGCTCCACCTCTCTTTTGCCACTGATTCCAAGCACAGCGCCTACTGCTTCCTCTTCCCTGCTGAAGTCTTTTGTCTTGTGTTCAAATTAGGAAGCTTTTCTTGGGTGCTGTTTGGATCTAGTAGTAGAGTCTTTCCTACCTCTGGGATAAAACAGGCTGTGGAATTGAACTCTGAATTAAGTGCAATTGATCATCCTTGCCTGCACAGAAGATGGAACGTGAAGATTTTCCTGAATCTATTCCCATGTTGTCATTGTCCTCCTGCTATCCTTATCCCCGCTATAAACAAGACAGAGCATGTTTGGTTTTTTTATTAGTATGGTCAAAATATCTATGCTGTGGTATTTGTGCTAGCTTGTGCAACTTAATGTAGGTAAAAAAAACCCTTTCCTCCTAGGCTTGTGAGACTTTGCCTGGAATTTTCTTAACTTCAGGATGAAGTTAACATCCTGCACAAACGGTAGGTAGGACTTTTGAGCCTTACAAACTGAAAGCATGGCCTTGCTGTAGGAAGTGATCCTAAATGTAAGTGCTGGTAAGTAAGGCTGTTTAAAACAAGCAATATAATGAACAGCTGATACAATCTCTGATAGATTTTTTTTTTTTCAGTAAGTATTTAGTACTAATTGTGAGTAGTAGGATTTATTTAGAGATGGTGTAAACAGAATATAAACTTCCGACTAAAGTCTAAAAAAAAAAAAAGTTTATGTTACGGATTCAGCAGTGCTAAAAGTATTCACTGCTGGCCAGGGTTTATGTCTTTTTTATGCTTGCAATTTGCTTGATTCAGAGGTACGTGCCTAGTTCTCAAGGAATTCTCTAGCAGTGTGCTTTCCTGGAATAAGCGCAGGTCAAAAAATGGGACAAACGCCACTGAAACTGTGACACCCAGCTTTACAGATTTGGTTTAAGTGTTCTTGTGAAGATGTAAGGAGAGGTCCTCCGCTCCTTTTTCTTAGCGTTTATTGTTAGCAGCTAAAGATCAAGTATTTTTAGTTAAGTACTTATTTCACAAAAAATGCTTTCAACCTTGCAAAGTTGGTTTATATATAAACTCCTCCATGTATTCCCATCTGGTTACTTCTGAAATCTTCAGATTTGTTCACTGTCTGAAACAAGCTTCCTTTCCAACTCTTTCTCACCAATTTCCATTCTGCAGCGTGATGAAATTGGGAACAGTCTGCTAGCTTTATATCCCCAGTGACACATTCATGTTTCTCTACCCCAGTCCAGTCTTAATTGGCTACTTTCCTAGGAGTACATAGAAATGAGGGATAACTAGTTAGGCTGAATCATGCCACACTGAAAACTGTGTAGAGCTGTTGATGTAAATATCCTGGTAGTCCCAGACCATGCCCGACAACCAG